GAATTACAAAATTCCCTGTTCGTCAGAAACAATCTTCTTTCATAAATTTACTAAAAAGGAAGAGAAGAAGCTAAAACAATTTCAACTTGAAATGAACAAAATGTAAGTCCGAACTAGGTTGTTTTCATTGATGAAAACTGTAATATCAAAATTTTAAGTTACGTGCTACACACACAGGAAGAAGTTGTCTAAAGAATCTTATTGTATAATAAGAAATTGGATCCAAAAGTTGCAAGAGCTCTTTAATGGAAGCCAAAAATTAAATATTAGAGATAATGGTATTTCCAGAAAAATGAATAGCACAATAAATGTTAACCAACGTACAAATTATGGAAATAACTTCGCTTTGCCTGAGAGAAGGCATGCTATTTTTCTGTGCAATAAAAGACGATTTTAACTTTGATTTTAATGAATAATTATACAGGGAAAAAATTATATAATAATTTTTATTTAATTTATATAGAAATTGAATTTTGAAATTAACTTAATATAATAATTTTTATTTAATTTATATAGAAATTGCGTTTTGAAATTAGTTATAAATTTATTTGTGCAATTTATAAAACAAATAACAAATTTGTCATAGAAACTAAAGTAGACCAATCAAAAAGTGTCAATAATCCCAACGTCATGCAACACTAAGTATACTTTTCCAAATGCATGTTATGATTTGTTGTACAAGCTTATATGATTTTTTCTTTGAAGTACCTCGTTTAGGAACTTTAATCGAAACCATTTATGTTTTTCAACATTGGAACATCTAGAAATATACTTAAATTCTAAAAATAATTACATCTTTGCCGTTTTCAATTAGTACTAACTGTTTATTTTTCTGATTTAAATAGTTTTTGTCATATTTTTCAGCCCCAGTGGCACAGCGGTATGTCTGCGGACTTACAACGCTAGAAACCGGGTTTCGATACCCGTGGTGGGCAGAGCACAGATAGCCTTTGTGTAGTTTTGTGCATAATTAAAAACAAACAAACAAATTTTTCATGCCCTAGTAAGAAATCATTATGTCAGCTGACAGATTTCTCATATGCTATAATAAATTCATCTAAGCAAGAGAATCCACTTTTTTTACGATCCATTTTTTGCAGAAGTATACTTCGAATCATATGATATTAGGATTGATGAAAAAATATATAATTTTGATTACATAAAAAAACACGCACATACACACATCGTGTGTGTTGCAAAAGATAGATGAGTGGATGGAATGACGAACGACAGACTTGTGCACTTAAACAGACAGATTGACTAAGCGTTAGGATTGGAACAAACAACAACGGAACATAAGTTACACAATGAAAACAGTTAAATATGCCGTGATAGTATAAGCATTTATGATAGTGAAGCCCACGCAGCAGTGGAGAAAAACTCCTATCACACTTATCTTCACTGTTTGAAGCCAGCAGTGGGAATGAACTAGCTCCTGATGAGGCCAGAAAATAATAAACAAAATTAGTTATTTAAGTATAACCTATTAAAGACAAACCCCCTTGAGGTAATACATTAAACATTTGAGCCCCATAACTGTTTAAAAAACTATATCAAGAGTATAATAAAATTTTTAGAAGAAAAGGTAAAAATATATAGAGCAAGAAAAAAATATTGGAATCCACTTCTAAATATAATAATGTAGTGTAGCATCTAACTCCAACGTTAACTAGTATTCCTTTGAATTATGAAGGCTTGGTTACAGAAATATGCACGCACTAGCAAACAAAGGTAACTTGGCAAACCTAGAATATTTGAGGTATTAACACGTATGTAAGTTAAATATACACAGCTACAGATAAATAACTCACTAACATTCTTCCATATTATTCAAATTACTTTGGCACTGTATAAAAGTGCTTATATGTATTTTAGAAACGTATCTACCATGAAAAATTTAAATGATAAGAATTTTGAATCATTGAATCGTAAATAAATATTTAAGTTTATTACATATTATATTTTTCAGTAATTGTGAAATCATTAAATTTTACATAAATATGAAGAAATTTTTCTAGAAGAATGAAGTTCGTAAAGTTTAAGATATAAGTAAGTGTTCATGTTTATCAAAATATTTTGTAATCTCCTCTTAATGGTCAAAAACAATTCAGCAAACATTACTAGGAGTTTGTTTTATTCAACGGTATGTCATTGAGTTCAAAACAAATAAAATCACTTTATCTTTTAACTCTCTTGCATAATTTGTCTAAAGAAGCTGATGAAATTGTTTTCATAGTCTAAACTACTTTTTAAGTGTAGTTAAAACTGGTTAATAAATATGATATATTTCGCACCTTTCTTTTTGTAATTCACAAAATTTTGTTCTCCAGGTTATGCAGATTATTGGTAAATTTTGTCTCTGAGAAATCCTGATGCAAAAGCACATCTTTATAAAGGGTTAATGTCGTAATTTACAATTTCAACATTTTTTGGGTTGTGTTTGATATATAATATTTAATGCACCGTTAACATGGATTTCATATGTTGGCGACTTCGAAATAGTCAGTAATGCTACGATTCTTTTTTTTTTTTTTCGTTCAGTTCGTTTTCCAGAACTTCAAGATAGGATGAAAGCAAACATAAGTTCAGAGATGGAAGTCGTGAAGAAGGAAGAAAAGTGAGTTGGACCCACCTTTAAAATTACTATAATATATATTGACTACGCGATAACCCAGTTGACATCTAGATTTCGTTTTGCTTTTTATTCATATTCATTAAATTGAAACTTTCGTATGAACTGCTCCCACTCAGTTTCTAGTGAACCATTGATGATATTTTTAGTTCATTCGTAAATGAAAGTGGTTACCATGCTCGAACTGTGAATTCGAGGATTCATGATTCGTGACCCGTTGCCTCAAAACAGTGTCCCGCACTTTGGTGCCGTAGTTACGGTATAGTAATGATGATAAAATTACACTGTTCAGTCAGAAAACAAAAGTGAAAGAGTTAGCGGTGGGGACAGTTGGCTAAATCTATCAGTTCAAAACTAGAAACTACTGTGCGCGGATAGCTTTTTGTGTATCTTCGTATGAAAGTTTCGAAATAAGTTAAACAAAAGCTTCCGTTTGTTTATCTTTATAATTGTTTGTTTTTGTTTTTAATTATGCACAAAGCTACACAAGGGCTATCTGTGCTCTGCCCACCACGGGTATCGAAACCCGGATTCTAGCGTTGTAAATCCGCAGACATGCCGCTGTGCCACTGGGGGGCATCTTTATAATTAAACGATACTTGCGGAAACCTTTTCATCATATACATTCTCCAAACTGTGACGAGTCAGGTTTTTTTTTTATCGTAACGTATTTACCTGAAGAATACTTAAGGGTTTTAAAAAGCCTTTCCATTTTTCTGATTGAAAGGCACTTTTTAGGTGTGCGAATGATACAAAGTACAGTTCTGATCTGATGAATGTTGGAACATTTCTTTTAAAGTCTTTTACGAAACAGGCCATTTTGGGAAGAAATTTTTAAACAACATGAAATCACTTCTTGATTTTTTAAATTTGATTCTTTTCGGATTGAGCAATTGATTGATACAGTTACAAAAAAAAAAGAAACCTAGTTGGACATTACTTCATTGAACTTTCAGAAAAATCCCTGCACAAATGTAACTTCATAGTTGCGTTTCAAAAAATTCTTTTTTTTATTTATTTCGACTTCAGTGGACGTAATATGTCATGTATTTTTTGAGGTCAGATCCTTAAAGCTTATATACAGTGAAATCTTTCAGGATCGATCGCGTTACATTCACTCGACTTCTTCTTGAAAGGGTGGTCAGCCTCGGCGGTCTCACTAATGTTACACGTACTTCTTAACGAAACATTTTGTTATTTTACGTTTGGAAACCTGAATTACCCCTTCCACTGAATACGCTAATTCTTGAGTTAGTTTACAAGACGTAAGTTTACACTGCAGATATCAGAATTACTGTATGTAATTGTTAGTTCGTAGTTTGCTTAACGAAACGTTGAAGATGTGTGATTATTGTTTATTCCTTTCATAAAATACTGATAAGGTACTTTCCACCTACAAACGTATAATGATTTTTTAAGCGTGATAAAATCTGTCTAAAAGAGTAGAGGGGTAATATTTGATATAGATCTTAAATTACAAAACAGAATGCGCCGGTGAGAACTGCAAAACAGACCAGGTTCATTTGTTTATATATTTTGGTTAGCCTGAAAAACCATTTGGTTTTCTTATGAAAATGTAACTACAGAAATGCGTGCAAACCGATAAACAACGGACACAACTTGGATAAATTTGTATATTGATTCTGTTTCATAAACCAAGAAACAACGGACACAACTTGGATAAATTTGTATATTGATTCTGTTTCATAAACCAAGAAACAATGGACATAACCTGAATAACTTTATTTATTGATTCTGTTTCATAAACCAAGAAACAATCAGAATCAATAAATAAAGTTATCCAGGTTATGTCCGTTGTTTATGGGTTCATGAAACAGAATCAATAAATAAAGTTATCCAGGTTATGTCCTTTCATGAACCCATAAACAACAGACCATAACCTGAATAACTTTATTTATTGATTCTGTTCTTCCATACCATAATCATATTTTATCGATTATCCTTATAAGTATCTTGTGAATTTCATTTCTGTGACTTCATTTCATTAATTTTATTTCTTTTCTTCAGATTTCTTAGCGACGAGCCAGATCGACTAGAAAATGCTCTTAAACGATGTAAGAAGCTAACAGGGACATTAGTCACGCTCAAACGGTAAGAGCCCAAATACAATTAAATACCCACTGAGACATAAAAGAATTCTCAACTTTCTTTTTCTATTAAATAATTTAAGTACTGCTTCCTTTTTTTATGTCGTCAGATTGTTTATAACACGATTAAAAATTTGCGACATTTTTTTTTCTTGCAATTGTAAGCATAGGTGGCTGTGTTTGGATTCATGTTCTTTAATTAGTTAAATACCAATATTGAAAAATATTCTTTTTATTAGAAATGAAGGTGTAAGAATTAAGAACCAGTAAGAACATCAAAGGATTTGCCTCTATGTTGTTTTGTTATATACCTTTCTTAATTTGATTTCAATGTGGTGTTTCCCTCTTTTCAATAATTTACTCGTTAATACAGTTCTACGAAATGTTTTTCTCTAGTATTCGGCTTTTCATTTCCAGACTAGCCTCTGTACAAGAACAGCGGCACACAGGTGCTCAGTCAATGCCTGAAAAATCACTGTCTGCTGATGGATCCCATTCCAATGGGGATGCTCATACTGCCAAAGTAAGGACCATTGTGTAACACATCAGTACTCAGAGTGAGTCAACCCTTCCTGTCTTTCTGAACCTCTCAACCTCTTCCCTAATACATCCCCTCTGGGTTAGGACATGTCCTACTATCAACCCCTGGACATGATCCACCTTACAAAAATAAATGGATATAACTACGTGGATGCTACGACTCAAATATAAAAATCAATTATATTTATCATAATAGAATGGTATTAAGTTTATTGTAATAATTTTTAAACGCTGTGTTATTTATTCGGTCCCCTTGGGTTTTTTCCCGAGAAGAAAGTTTATAATACCAGAGCTCATCAAGCGTTTACACCATAACAGTTGTTATTTTAACAAATGGCATATATAACTACTGTTCCAATCACTTCCATATTCCAGCCGGCTTGATGAGCTCTGGCATTGAGCGAAAAGCGTTGTCGGCAATAGATATGGTGAAAATACTATTAAACGCTCTTCTCGGAAAACCCTAAGAGACAAAATAAAACGTGTTGTGTTCTTTTTTTAAGGTATAGTAAGCTTAATAATATTGTCCTATGACAAGAAAATTAATTATAACCACGTTTCACACCAGAAAAGGAGTTCAAAGCTCAAAAGTCGAAATGTGTTGTTTAAAACTTGTTTTAATCAATTTCAAAGATATTTATCAATTCTATAAATCCTGTAATGTCATATAAGTCCTTTAGCGAATTCCATAAGGAAATACTGTAATATTATTTTGAACAGGGACAAGTAAATGTTAGTTTTATCACATTTCAATGTTTAGAAGTTAAAAATACCCGAAGGGATTAATACTGACGTAGCGAAGGCACAGTGAGGGTTAACTTTATTCTCCTCACCTTACTCCAATCAACAACCCGTTTATACTGTCACCTGTATACCATTTCAAAGGCGCATTCTCTGACTTCTTTATTGATATCTATATTAGTAGCTTTAAAATAGTTTATATCTTTGTTCCTGCCCACTGATTTCCAGTTTACAGGCCTCTTTGTTCTTTAAATCTATAAATATATTCTTCTCTGTTTTTCACTTTCCCGTACAGTGTACTCATCGAGCTAGTCATTTTGGGATATAAATTTCTCTTCTTTTTTTTTTGTTGTTGCTTAAAAGGTATTGAAAAACAGTAACTAATTCACAAACAATATTTTATTTACATTAGGTTCTAACATCAAATATTCATTGTTCTTGCATTATAAACAAATATTTTAATTGAGAAATGCTGTATTGTATTTACACTTGTAAAATTCAGAAACAGTGCAATAAAACTATTGAGAACATTAAAAATACTTAGAGTTACACATACACACAAAAAAACAGGGTGCGAGTTGGCCCTCTGTTAGAGCTGTTTGGAGCTGACAAACCGGTACGAATCTCTACTATTCCATAAAATGTCCTCACCACTTTATGGTGTGAGCGCGTTATAAGAGTGACAGACAATCCCTTAGCGTGGATAGTGGATGGTATGGTGTACCTGACTGGCTGCCTACAACATAAGGTACAGCAGCAGGTAGCCTAAGTAGCTTTATCATAAATACGTACGCAACATACGGTTATTCACAATAAACCAGATAAGTATTTGTAATTATTTGTACAACTCTTATAAGCTTTTTAAACGTAAGAAATGTATATACGTCGATAAAAATAATCATATTACTTGACATAAACAGCTATATAAAAGTTTTCTGAAAGATTAAAATAAATACTGTATCATCTCAACAGTTAACATCTCAACATAAGGGGGGGGGGGTAAGTGTTTACTGTTCTTTTTAATTTTTCAATTGAATCAAATATTCTCAACAGAGTTTTTTTCTTTCAACTCCAGTGCTGAATTCATTACGCGTCGGAAAATATTTACAGTGCGTTGTATTATAAATAACGAAGCAAATGAACAAAAGTTTGAATGATTTCATGATATAACTGTTAATTTTACTTCGTTCTTTGTTACCTTTTTTTTTTTAAAGTACGGGTACTTATTGTTTATTAGCCAAACTATTTTAAGAAAGCATTAAAAGTTTAAAACTAATACGAAATAATTATTACTAAACCGTTGAAAAAAATGTCCCGATTATATGTTGTGTTTTTGAATTTAAGTTTGAGAAGACAAAATATTAATTAATTGTATTATTTTAGTTTCTCACGAGCTGTTCAACTTTTTTTTTCTTCGTTAGTCTGGCAGACATGAGTGGAAGCGGAGTTCAAACTTTCGACAGAAAATAGAGTAATATATCTACTCTTAGATTTTAAGACTTAATTCCGATCTATGCTTACTTCTCATGCGTCTACTCTATTGCACTCTCTTTATGCCCGGAACGTCCCCTTTTCATAAACCCGGAATGACTACAGTACGGTCAGCATGATAGGTCTAATAAAAATCGTTCTCTCTCTTTCTCACTCAGATTTTTTGTAAAAACATGTGTCCTGCATGAACCAACAGACAATACACAAAAGTGGCATGCTAGTTTTACTTCGTAACTCTTTCACTTTAACAACTATGATCGTTAAATTGTGTTTCTTAAGATAGTGGTTATATATATATATATATATTCTACATCTTTATGAGCAGTACTCTGTCTTCTATGCCTTTTTTATCTCACATTTACATTATCTGATAATTGGTAATATTCTGATCTGCATGTTACTCTTGGAGACATTCCATGACTCGTTTAATAATACTTTGCTTTTTTTTTCAACTTTAATGTTGTTGTTTTTCACTAGTTTTAGTGTATGCTACAACTTTAAGCTTTTATTTAAGACCAGAATAATTATTAATGTTTTACTACGCAACATTTCACTGTACGAAGTAAAGACACAATTTTCGTCAGGTTGAAAATATTCTTGTCCCAAAAGCAGCCGATGGAGGGAGTTTTTCACATTAGGACGAGCAGAGAAGTTTGGTTTTTTTCTATATTTTGAATGCGGTTTCTTGACTATGACAATAACATTAAAGGAGAAAATATCCTACGAAACACCTTAGCAAATGTTTAGGTCTGTTTCTGTAAAGCTCTGTCTGTCAAGTTTACAGATCTACCGTTGAAGTTTCCCTCTTTGGGGGGGAATAAATATGTTATCTATGGTGGCCTCTCAAGAAATCACAGCAAACATTTATGACAAACATTATTATCTCCTTCAATCAATTGTTTAACTTTATCATCAACATAGAACATAATGTCAAAAACCCTCGTTTTTTTACCGTTTGTTTTTATTAAGCACAAACCTGCACAATGAGCTATTTGTGGTGTGCTAACTGCATATAAAAGTTAACGTTATAAACCTCTTAAAAATTATCGCTTATTGTTAAAGTTTCATATTCTTTAACATTATTGCTTTCTTATTAATAGGATAACTGTTTTTTAAATCTAATTCAGCGTTGTAACCTTATAGCTTATTGCAGTTAATAAATATAAATAATTTTTCTTCGTATTTTAATTTTCTCGGTGTAATTTTTAGGTATACTGAATAAACCATTAGGTGGGCTCTTAGAAACACAAATAAAAGAATATGCAAATTTGTAGACCTATAACAAAACGAATATACGTGATCACTTGCTCAGAGAATGTGACATATCAATATATCACAGTTCGTTTCACATTGTTGTGAAAGAAAGCGATGAAAGGAGGTTCTTAATTAATGAATGGAGACCGCAACTCAGTGTAGTGAGTTTGGCAGTTAATTTAACAAAATATTTTGTTTGGAACCGAACTTGTTCTCTTTTCTTTTGTTTTATTGTCGTTATTTTCTTCTGGACATTCAGTGGATTATCAAAATCCATTATCTGGATAGGTGTATGTTACATCTTTTTCAGCCCCCCCCCCCAAGTGGTACAGCGGA